CCTGCCTCGGAGTTCAAACTCCGAGATGAAGACTTGGATTCCGATGATGAAGTCCAAATCGTTTCCGGACTTCTAGGAAACTCTTCTGCTGAAGAAGAAAACAACGACGAAGATAAGTACGTCACAAATGGAGTTCTAGGCCTTGAAGCTCCTAAGAAACTATTTCCTAAGGTTCTATCTGAGGAAGAGAAGAGAATTTGGTCCGCAACCTCTTTGCCAACTTCTTTACCAGATGCTTCTCAAAAAGCAGTTCAAATAGCCAAAGCAAAATCCCTCCTCACCACACAGGCCTTCCGAGCCACTCCCTCAGTACAACCCCTCATTCTGGAACCAAAAATCGCTCCGATCGATCAGGGCTCTCCTCTCCGAATCCCAGATGATATTCCGGAAGAACCACTTCCGAATCCCACTTTGGAATTCATGATTGACGAAAACATGAAGATGGTTATCAATGCACTTCAAAGAGACAAAGGAAAGAAGCCTATACCTGCTGAACAACAAGCCCTTCATTCTGGACCTCCCCTCAAGCAGAAATTTGGATGGTCGCAGGAAGAAATCAATAAGGCACTAGAGGACAACATTCAGATCCAAGCCCTGAAAGACAATCCAGATCCAATGCGAGGCATCTCTCCTCTTTGTCGTGAAGGCATTCTCAAGGCTGAGGAAATAATTCCTTGCATGTACTACGACATCTCTTCTAATGATTCCGATCAGTTGGATCTTCCTCTCTCTCCCTTCAGCATATTTTACATTAAGTTTGCTCCGCTTCACCCATCAAACGATCCGTGATTATCCGGACTGAAAGAGAGAGACTCAAAACCTTTTATTCCAAACATACTCAACCTCTCAAGGAAGTCTGGTCAAGGAAAAGAATCACCAAGGTGGAAGGCTTCGGAAGAAAAATACTTGTGAAGTTTGAGCTTAACTGCCCCCTCTTCCGTTTCCACATCCTCCGGAACAAGCCTACTCCCCGGACCATTACTGATGCGGACTTCCCATCCGTGAACCCAAACGACATCCTCACTTTAGCTGCCTACTTCAGAGAAAATCAGAAGGATGATATAAGTATGGGAGCATACCACGCCACTCTAAGCTTTCTAAAGGATTACGTTGCAGAATTCTGCAGATGTGATTATGAGCTTGCACATCTCTATGGGACGGAACAATTTGTTGCCAAAATTGACTTCGTTCTTCCGGAAGCCAAAGTTCTTGCTGATGGTCCTATTAAAGAACCGGTTCTAGGGTTTGTCTATACCACAAGAAAATCAAACAAGAAGGACTGCTTCCGAGTCCTTGACAAACATCTAGTTCCGACCAAGGCCTTGAAGAAGTTCATATCCCGGGCATCCAAGTCCGATGCTCCTGAGCATGTCAAGGCAAAGTTCGTAAATCAGTTGGCATGGTACATAAAGGTCCGAGAATGGTTATTCCGACCATACACCTTCATCAAGGAAGAAATGAACTAAGCTTGCTGGATTGCTAAGTTCACTTAGGGGGAGATTGTTGGAACCGGAAAGTGAACCTCTAGCAATCCCAAGGCCACATTCCGAAGCTCAGACATTCCGGAGTAAGTGTTCCGGAGTCAATAAGGAAGGAGTAGTCCGAAACTTAGTCCGTACCAGAAAAGAAGTGAAGAGAAGACTGAAGACATTCTGGAGTGACTCTCACGTCCGGAATGAACACTGATCCGGAAGAACCTTATTTTGTCTTAAAGTATTTATTGTATTTGTACTTGTTTTGATGTAACGTTTCATAGGACTTAGTCTATTATCTTATTTGGACAATCAGAATGTCAGAAATATTTCTTTTGTCCGGTCCTATGTAAACATTGTAGTTAATTCACTGTAACCTTTACTCCTATTTAAAGGAGCATTCAATTCAAGTCAAACTACGGATCTTTCACTTACTTTTGGCATCTTTACTAAGTTTATTCAAACATTCTTCTTGTTCTTCATTTATTAACTTTACTTTGATCATTTACTATCTTATTCTTCATTTAATGTCTTGATCATTTGTTGAATATTCTATCTAAGACTTGACTGGTCTTTCCAGGCTAGACTTCAAATATCTTTAGCAAACAGACATTGATCTTAAGCATTCACTGAAGGTTTGAGTTCTCAAACCTTGTCCCTGCGCATCGATCTTGTTCTCACAAAGCAAATCCAACGTCAGCAGTAACTCTATTTGGGCCACCCATATCACTATTTGACATAAATGAATAAAGTCGTGCCAACTTTTTGGTACGCAACTTCTTTATTACTGTCGCATTCGACATAGTTTGCAGATATACCTAACATATGACATTCATACCATCCGATAATATAAAATTATACAAATATATATTTCCAGGAAAAGAACTTCATTACAAAGGCATCAATAGTTGATTTCAAGTTTACAGACGCCTTGTACCACGTAATTTGACCCACGTGCAAAAAAGCAACTATGAAACAAGGTAACAACTGTTTCTGCCCATCGGATGGAAAAGCCAACTCCCCAACCTTTATGTAAGCAAGTCTATGTCTAAACTAAGAACAACACCAAAATTCCACTTATACAAACTCATGTCAGTAGCACACATATATACTAACTTCTGGGAACAATTACTGACTCAAGTCACATAATAACCGCAATCCTATCTGACAATGTTGTCCAAAAATTAACCGGTACAACCTCGAAAAAGTTGATACATGAGGATGATCCTAACAACAACAAGAAAAAATTGTCATAAATTATTGAGGAAAGCAAAGGTTTAGTGAAAAAAAATGGCATTACAAATGACAAAAACTTCCACCACCAACAATATTAGGTTCATAGTAACCTATGTCGAAGACGACAACAACCTACTACAACAGTCAGCAATACCGACAACTCTATCTCCACAATTTCCAATGACTTCCAAAAGAAACGACAATCTAACTGCACCATTATCAGAACCTCAACATTCAAAGGTTAGAAGGACACTCACATACGAACACCCAGATAAAATAAGTCACACATAACACACTTACATCAAAAAAAACATGTAACACATTATTTCCTATTAAATCACAGATGAAGGCAAACCAACAACATCAAAATGTGGGCGTTCTCCAGAGTAGAAACACAATATGCACAACTCGCTTCCTTGACACCACCTTTTGCTTGCATGGATAGTTATAGTCACCTAAGTAATTCCATAAGTTTTGTATATCTGATGTCCAAGGATACCATATGAACCTCTTATAAGTAACTTGTGTTAACTTTCGCAAACGACATATACCTACCTAAAAACTTCCATAACTTTTGTGTAAGCAACATCGGATCATATTATGTGAACCTCTACAGCTAACCTTTATAAGGTTCTATAAACCCTGCGCAAATTTGCTATTTTCGTGAAAAAATAGCTACTATTTTAAAAAACTAAATTGTCGTAACTTTTATACATATAATTTCCAACTAGCCAAACAACTAATTTTTTGCCGCCTTTTACAATTGTTACATAAGGTTATGATTTTAATAAAACTTAATCTACTATCAAGCGACGTAGTATCTACAAAAAAACATACTTAAAATCAAATACATAATATACTCAACAAAAAAAAAATCCTCTGGTAGTTACTAATTAGTACCAAGCATATACCCTCACAAACCTCCTATTTCTATCATTGTGAAATGATTTTGGATTTTTTAATATATGTGTCGATTTCGTTCCTAATGATAACATTATTAAATCTCATTTTCATATTCTCGTTTATGATTTATAAGGGAGTAAAGTATCAAAGATTCATGGGAAATCTCAGAAAAATCCTAAAATTTTACCCTAATTTACGAAAAAGTCACAAACTAAATTTTGTTTATGAAAAAACATGAATTACCGATAAAAATGACGATTTGACCCATTTTTTCCGGTTTACCGGTTTTATTACTTACCTGTTTCACTAAAGTCCTATTATTTTACCCTAATTTGCGAATAAGTCCCAAAATAAAATTTACTGATGATTTGGCCCTTTGCTCTATGTAACATACATTTTACCGGTTTCATTGCTGACGCGGACGCCTAGTCATTAAATAAGATGATGAGATGGATATGTTGAGTTATATAATGCTATGTTTAGCATAAAACTTGATATCCTATGTATTGTATATCTTTTTGGAACATAAAATGCATCCAACGAAGACTACAATAATTACATAAAACTAACAATAACTGCGTTATTTTTTACGTTTATAAGAAATATCAAATTGTCTATCTAATCTTATGTAACCCAATATATCCGTCTCATGAGATATCAACTCATTTTCTGCCATTTTTTCTTGGAAACACATATTTTATTGGTTTTATTGCTGACGTAGATACATAGGCACAATGAGCCGATGAGATGGATATCAAATTTTACAGTAAATGTGACATTATATAACCCGTCATATTCATTTTATCAGCTAATTTAATGACTAGGTGTCTAAGTCAGCAATGAAACCGATAAAATGTATGTTACAAGAAGAAAATGGCCAAATCATCAGTAAATTTTATTTTGGGACTTATTTGCAAATTAGGGTAAAATAATGAGACTTTAGTGAAATATGTAAGTAATAAAACCAGTAAACCGGAAAAAAGGGGTCAAATCGCCATTTTTACCGGTAATTCATGCTTTTTCGTAAACAAATTTTAGTTTGAGACTTTTTCGTAAATTAGGGTAAAATTTTAGAACTTTTCTGGAAATTTCTCAAGATTCTTTGGATCTAGTGGTTTGGAAGACAGTTTTATAAACTTTTAAAATATAATATTTTAATTTGAAAAAAATATATATTTAAAGAAAATAAATAAATTAATATATAAATAAATAAAGAAAAAAAAAAAAACCAACCCGAGACGCTCGAACCTAAATGCCAAATGGAGTGGTCAGATCAGGTGAGGTCACGGGCTGACGGCTGAACCACAACCACACGTCCACGGTTCACACTCCACACCCATGAAATCTCACCCAACCGCTCATCTTATCCCACCTATATAATCCAACCACTTTTCCACCATTCATTCGCATCATCAATCTCATTCAAAGTTTCAAACAAATCACCCTCTTCCCCTTTGCCGATTGACCTACTGCTGCCGGATAATCGTCATCGAATTAGGAGAAACAGAGTCTCCCTTGGGGTTGCCTGCTAGAGAGGAACGGGTTGGGGTAAAACCCTGGAACGACAAGTTGCAGACATCACGGCTATACACGGAGCAACGCGGCCACTCGTTCATGTCCGATCAGTACGGCGGAAGGGTTCAATAACTATTGAGAGCAACCCTTCGACGCACGGCGGACGTGGCGCTTTGCCTTCCGAAGGCGGTAGCCCATCCGACCTTCTCTTCCTCGCCGGCGGTGGTTCATCCTCCTTCCTATTCCTCGTAGCTTAGGGTATATTAGGTCTAGACTTATACGCATATATCCCATACCTGTTATTATCGTTTAATTTTCAAGATCTGCTTTCTTCATCGCTCGTATCCGTTTAATCAACCAACCAATCGAAGAACATGTTGAGGATTAAGAGGGTTCCTACTATTCTTTCCAACTACCAGAAGGAGGGGGTCGAGGAAGGTGGTGCAGCCCGTGGTTGCGGCCGTAATTGCCTCAGAAACTGTTGCCTAACAGGTATTCCTTCAATTGCGTCCTTATTTAATATTTTTCTTCAAAACTTCGTTATGATTTGAAGTTTTGAACGTTTAAAACATTGTTTCTGTTTTAATTTTAATTTATCCTGGGGTTGGATACAGCAGGGGCTAAGCTACCTCTGTATGCTTTTCCAAAATCCAACAAGGTTGATTTATGCCACAATAATGAGGTCCCTTTTGCCTTCTTGGACTCCCTTCTTCTAGGAGAGGTAATATCCAAACTTCCATATCTCATATCTCTGTAGTTAGGGTTTTAATAATTGGTAGACTAAGATTGTTTCCTGTAAAACTCCAGTGGGAGGAACGAATGGAGAGGGGCCTTTTTCGCTATGATGTTACTGCTTGCGCCACTAAGGTATTCATCAGTTTCTTGTCTTTGAAAAAACTAAAAGTTATGCTAATTTTCCCTTAACCATACTATTTTATGAATGTTTACAGGTGATTCCAGGTGAACTCGGTTTTGTGGCTCAGCTGAATGAAGGTCGCCACCTTAAGAAACGGCCCACTGAGTTCCGAGTTGACAAGGTGCTACAGCCTTTTGATGAGAACAAGTTCAACTTTACCAAAGTTGGACAGGAGGAAGTGCTATTTCAGTTTGAAGCAAGTGAAGATGGTGAAGTCCAGTTCCATCCAAATGCTCCAATTAATGTGGATGGTTCACCAAGTGTAGTTGCCATTAATGTATGTGATGAATGCTTTTTTTTTCTTCATCTTCTATGTTATATGATCTTATACAAACAATCTAATATAATAAACATGTTTATTCATTTGAAATCAAAAGGTTAGCCCCATTGAATATGGGCATGTGCTTCTGATACCTCGAATTCTTGAGCGCCTACCTCAAAGGATTGACCATGAGAGCTTATTACTTGCACTGTACATGGCACGTGAGGCTGGAAGTCAATACTTTCGTCTTGGTTACAACAGCTTGGGTGCTTTTGCTACCATCAATCACCTTCACTTCCAGGCTTACTATTTGGGTGTGCCATTTCCAATTGAGAAAGCTCCCACTAGAAAGATTACAGACTTCAATGGCAATGACAATGGCGGGGTTGTAATTTCTGAGATTTTCAACTATCCTGTTAGAGGTCTTGTGTATGAGGGTGGAAGTGGAAGTTCTCTTGAAGATTTATCAAATGCTGTGGCTGATTCATGCATATGTCTTCAAGACAACAATATACCTTACAATGTGCTCATTTCAGATTCTGGAAGACGCATCTTTGTCCTTCCTCAGGTAAAAAAAAAAAATTATAAAAGAGGAAAAAGAAAAAGAAACAATCTTTTTTATTTGAAGTTTAATTAGTTAATGTGAGAAATGGAATGGATTGGATGAACAGTGTTATGCTGAGAAGCAGGCTCTTGGGGAAGTGAGTGGTGAGCTGCTGGATACACAGGTGAATCCAGCGGTGTGGGAAATCAGTGGACACATGGTGTTGAAGAGGAAGGAGGACTATGAAGGGGCATCTGAGGAAAAAGCTTGGAGACTTCTTGCTGAGGTCTCATTGTCTGAAGAAAGGTTCCAGGAAGTCGTGGCCATTATATTTGAGGCCATTTCTGTTACAGAGAAGATGTTGACTGAAGATGAACAAGATGTTGACCAAGTTGATGGTGGTCCCCGTGAAGCAGCCATGGTGCCTGGGAATCAAGAATGCCTAGTTCAGTACTAGGTGTATGTATGCTCTGCTCTGCTCTCTTGTTATATATATATAGTTAAGTTATTTGGGAAGTTTTTCGTGGTTTTGGTGTGTTTGACCACGAGACTTGACACCATTAAATAAAAGCAGTGGGCGTGTGTGTGTGTGGGTTTGTAGTGTTTGCAAAATGACTTGAGGATATTTGATTGTGATTGTGTTGCATGTAAATATTTCAGTGTGTGTTGTTGCTCTATGAGAGCTAATTAATGGCTGTTGCCACGTAATGTATTTGTTGGTTTATGCTAAAGGTTATTAATCAAGTCTTGTGCTACCTTGTGATGCTGTTATTTATATTTATCAACTTAGAGGGTCTTTGGTAAAACAACCTAGTAGCTTGTTAGCGTTTCCACACCGCTATAAGCTAAAAATGTGTTTGGAAAAAAATAGCTTACAGCGGTGGCAAATCTTTAATAAGTCATTTTTCATAAGTTTAACGTTTTTTTTTATGCCAAACTTAATAGCTTATAAGCCAATAAGCTAATAAGTAATAATTTTTTGCCAAACACCTCCTAAATTAAAAGGACATAAAGTTGTGAACTACTACTTGTCTCGAACACAATGATGTTGTTTGTTTTTTTTTTCTGTAGATTTTCTTGGCATCTTCTGTTTGCGATGCATAGACCACGCGCGCAGACATTAGCTTTCACAGACTGTTTGTTTTTTTGAAGACTGCAAATCTAAAAATGTCTACATGTAGTTTTCTAACATCTTATAGTCTAAAAAAACACATATATTTATTTTTTTAGATTTTTTTAAATTTATATTTATTCCAACTTTATTAATGATAAACAATTTGAAAAAAAAAAGTTACAATACTTTAAAAAAAAAAAAGGTTCAACGACACAAACATGATATTTTTGACAAATTTATAAATAAGATTTATTACAACAATGATCGTTGAAGTTGTTTATATAAATATAAAAAAAACCATAATATATTCATATATTTTTTGTACCAAATTTTATAAAACATTATTTAATACAATATCGTTAATTTCTTGGGAAATTTATATGTTATGTTTTTTAATTGATTTAATTGAAAAAATCGAAGTTTATTTCCATCCATTTATTTATCAAATTCTTTGCTTTCTAATTACAATGTTTATATATAACTTTGCGACCAAAATTGTTGGTTTTTATCAAATATATACGTTAATTCGTATCATTTTTATTTTGATTTTTTATACAATAATACATAAAAGTTGATCAAGATTTCTTAATTATTTATAACAAAGTCATAAAAATATTAAAAAATCACTTTGAAGTTTATAAAAAAACCAGTTTATTTAGATTTTATTTTATATTAGTAGCCTGCAGATGTTAAAAAAACAAACAGTCTTATTTTCTCAGACTGCAGACGGTCGACCTCTTCTACTACAAAGGTCGACAAATGTGGTCCGTAGACTACATATATTTTACCTCAGAAAAAACAAACAACACCAATGTTTCCCTTCACAATAATAATAATAATAATAATAATAATAATAATAATAATAAATTTCACTCATGTAAAGAGAAAAACAAAAGATGTAGGGCGTAGATACTGCAACCTTTACAATTCAATTCAAAACCCATAACATATCTAAATGTAATTAGATTGCATCGGTTTCAAAATTTGAGCTTTAAAATTTTAAAATTCAAATTGGACCAATCTGTTATTAGATATCTAATCTCAAACCTACGAAATCCAATCCAATTTATAGACGATTTGACATTCTTTACGGAACATTTCGAATCACATCAATCCAAGTGGCAGAGAGAAAGATTACAACTAAAACATTAAAGTGTGGTCAGTTTATTTGATAATATTTTTTCTTCGTTACTCTGCATGGTTTGTCTCACATGCTTGTTCATAAAAGTCTAACAATCCATAATAATTATTACCTAAGCAATCGACAAATTCATATATATATATATATATATATATATATATATATATATATATATATATATATATATGTATGTTTTTTTTCTAATATCTATTGTGTGCTCTTAATCACAAATCTAGACCAACAGATGGAATGAAATCAATGACCATGATCTGAGAGTCTGTAATATCATAATAGGGTAACATGTACCATATAATCATACAAATTTCAACATAAATACATTTTGGTCAATTTACATATATTAAAAAAAGAAATTTTCGGATTTAAGGGATAATTAATTCCCTTATTTTAAAAATCTGAATATTTTAAATTAATTCAAATTTAAAAATCCGATTTTATTCATTGGAAGGTCAACCATAAACTAGTAAATATATTTTTGATTTTATTCTTGCATAATATGTTTTCAATGTAGATATTTTTATAATTAACCTGATTTAAGAATTCTATATATTCTTCATATACATCCAAGTGAGAATGAGGGCCTATGATTTAATTCTTAATATACATCCGAACTTAAATAAAGATTCATACATATTCCTACAAACTAATAGTCTTATACATTTTAATATAGTTATGAATATTCTAACAGAATGTCATCAAAAATGAATTAAATTCTTAAAGAATAGCATTCTTGAATATACAATTTTTGAATAAATACATTTGATCTTCTTCAATGATCCAAATAATCCACTTGATTCCAATTATACTTACGAAAATGTGATGTATTATTGTAAGAATGTAATTCTTCACAAATATACTTGTTGTTGAACTCGATTCCAAAATTTTCTCTTGTATGATCAATATTGAATTCCTTCTTCAAGCCATTCAGAAAGAATAACATGCATTACTCGTTAGTATTACCAGTTAAACAAATATATTGGTTGTTAACAAACATTCTCAAAGACATTATAACAGAATGCATTTACATAAATAAACTCTGTCTGAATACATTATAGAATGCACTTAAATCATAGTCTTTTCTTTTATATATATAAACATTCTAAATCAAAATTACTAGCAACACATGTTTTATGTAATATTTATTTTCTCATAGCATGAACAGGTGTTTGCATTCTGACATGAAAAAAAATCCCAGCTTAACTCTTTTCATGCAACCGACCCCTTAAATTGCAGGTGTGAAACTCATAACTACACAAAATCCAAATTTTAGCGAATGCAAAAATCACAACCTAGTTATGAGATACCAAAGAAAAATAAAATAACCCTTCATAATGCAAAAACCTATGCATTCTATGAGAATATAAATATTACATGAAACATGTGTTCCTAGTAATTCTGACAAAATGTCATTGGAATCCACTTGCTTTAAATATTCAAAAATATTGACCAATTAAAACCCTTTCTTTGACTTTATTTTAATACATACGATTCATTTCGGATCACAAAAACCATCATATCATTAATTTGACTAAGAACCAAACTGAAACCATATGCTTTAACTTTTCATTAGAACGTGAATCAGATGAACAAGTGAAGAAATTAGGGTTGATAAAGGTCCAATGAACAATAACGGATCAAATAATTTGGCTGGATAAAAAAGAAATATGCTATGTCATAGGAGATTACACTTTGTGCTTGAATTTCATAAGAAATCAAGACTTAATGAAGACCAGTAGCAATATTTCTTCAAAAATGATTCCAAAATTTTGAAAAATTCACCAATCGTAAGATCTTGAATACATTGTGTCTCGCGTCGAACAAGTGGCAGAGGTCGTTGGATTAGGATGTCGTCGAAGTAGGATGTCGACAGAGTGACAGAGGTCACAGGATACACTGTCGATAGGGGTGAGCATGGTGCGGTTTGATGCGGTTTTAAGGCCAAACTGAACCGCAAACCGCATGGTGCGGTTTTTGCATTCTTAAAACCGTTGGGTGCGGTTTTGCAATGGTTCGGTTTTTCGGTTTTTAAATGTGGTTTCGGTTTGTATCGGTGCGGTTTCGGTTTTAAACCGTGTTTAGAATTTGGTGCAGTTTTTTATGTTTTTGGTGCGGTTTTTTAAAACTGTAAGAATTGAAAACCATGTCATGTAAACTTGTATTGTGCTGCTTTTTTTAAACCATTCATTTTCAGCTTAAAACAAAAATACATAATCAAAAATTGTAAGTCGCTTAAAATACAACATGTGATTACTCTCACAAACTAATTAATAATTGAAAGTTTGTTGATCTTAACTTAATTTGTTACAAGCTTATTTAATGTAATCGATTAGTACGTTTGGCTAATAATAGAACATTTTTTTGCACCCCATATAGTCTTATACAAACACAAAATAAACATATAATAAATATATTATCATTTATAAGTATTTTAAATAGCATGTATATAATATACATTGACTGATATATTACTATACACGCTTGCGGTGCGGTTCGGTTTTGGTGGACCGGTTTTTTGGATAGAAACTGCACCACACCGTTAACCTTCGGTTTTTGCAAAAATTAAATCCGCACCATTGGTTTTTGCATCGGTTTCGGTTTTTCGGTTGCGGTTTATTGCGGTTTTATCGGTTTTTCTTTAGTCGGTTCGGTTTTTGCTCACCCGTAACTGTCGATAGGGGAGGATGTCGTCGTCTTGAATATGCACGATCGATATTGTTTCCATTGAAGAAGATAATGATACGAAGAGTAAAATTGATAGAACCTTAGAAAGAAGGAAGGAGATGGATGGTCCGGTTCGGTGATTTGAAGAAAATGATTTACAGGAGAAGAAGATGAGGGTGTAACGATGTAGCCCTAAATGAAAGGACACGACACAACACGACAATGTTTTATGTAACACGAACACGACACGAGACGATCTTGGATTTTTTTTAACTAACATGAAAACGAACCAATTAAAAAACGACAAACACGAGACGACACGACAAAGATAACATGAAATAACAATTAATGTATTTAATTATTATTTATTCATACATAAGACGAAAAACACGACGAAAAAATGTTAAATCGTGTCAAATTTTGAACACGAACACGACATGACCCGACGTCGTGATTTTTACACTTGACACGAACACGACACGAACACGAATTCGAATTTTAGTTTCGTCTCAATTTCGTTTCGTGTCGTGTATTTTTGACGTGTCGTATCATCAATTGTCACCCCTATATAAGGGGTAGAAGATGTTATGTTCTTGCTACAAAGGGATAGAAGACATATATGAGAGAGAGATTAGGTCAAATATTTATTTTCTTTCTTTAATTATATGATTTCAATTAAGTGCTTCCATTAACTGAGAATACAAAATCTCCAAAATACCCTTATTGAATTAAAAAATTATTTAATATTTTGTTAATTATCGATTGGTGCATTCATGAACACAATAATTGTCATAAACATTTGAAAATC